TTTTATACAGATGAAAACTTAGATTTTTATGAATTTATATGTATTTTACGAAAATTACTGTAGCAGTGCATCGATGTACTGCTAATTTATATTCGAAAACTTTCACTGTTCACGGTACTGTTCATTATTGTTCACAGTATTGTTCGTACCGTATTTTACTGTTCATAAATACGTTTTTGTCTCAAAATTTTATAACAAATGCAATTTAACAATATATGATCATATTTCCTTAATATAAGTTCAAATGTTTTGTTATTTTGCAAGAATAAAGGTTCTAAAAGGTTAATGTAACATCTCGGGCTCGTATTCAGATCGAGTACGGGTTGGGGTGTTACAGTGCATGTTTAATGTTAGTCTTAGGCAAGCCAAAATAACTTAGTGCTGCTAATGGTTCAAATGCATGAAACAAAAATTGCCAAAAAGTTCAACTGAAAACGATAAGAGAACTATCTATTTCCTCTAAGTCTCTATTTTACCAATCATGTTTATATCATCCAACATGAAAGATACGGCACATGATTTAGCTAAAAAGCTACGCAACTAAATACACAAAGGGATATCAGCCAACTAAAACCTTCCGAGTTTAGCAACATCAAAAATAAGTCAAGACAGAAAAAAGAAGCTCCAACACCTGTGGTTCCCGATATCTTCTGTACATGGTAACCATGTCTCGACTTCCTACGAGCTCTAAGCCAGTGCCTTGTCAATTGCCTCTGCGTTATCACGCAGAACATTCCACTGAAACAGAAGAAAAAACAGATGAGTGAAATGTCCTCATCTTTATTATAATAGAAGGCCGATCTTTGTGATTCGTACCTGATCCAGACTTATAGAAATACCTAGGAGAATAAAAGATGTCGGCTCATGAATATCGGTAATGAAAATATGTCAGCTAATGAATAACTCGAAAGTTTCAGAAGCAAAAATCATGTTATGCACCAACAAGATGAGTACCAGCATAGAACCAAGAATGGAGGAAGATGTCAAACTTCTCCAAGAGACATTTTTCAACCCATAAATCCATCAACAATCTACTTCAAATACTGAAATTCCAAACTTTGACAAGTCTATTTATGCTTGTCGACATTCAATAACAGTGGGAACCAAAGCCGTTAATCAGGATCGACGCAAGATTTTATGTCAATGGTACAAACTTAGGCATATTAAACTTTTGGGGTTACAAAATTAGAATCAATAGATAAACAAAGAAAATACATAAAACTATATGAGAATATATGTATACTTAATGTTTTGAACTTTATTTTTTTTAATAAAAAAAGCCAATTATCCAAGTAGTGAACAGAAGACAATATACAAGGGATAAAAAACACAATAAGGAACAAATTCATCACGATACCCAAATGAAAGTCACAACAAATCAAACTTAAACAACAACACTTAACTACCCTTCAAGTTTAGGTTCAATGCATAACTGAAACACTAGCCTATAATGAAGAAATCAAACGAGAGTTTTGCATGAAAGCATGCCTAAAATGAAAATAAAACACCATAGCACAAATATCAAACCTTCTTACTCAGTTAAAACACTGTTGATGTACAAATTAGAGATTAGGTCAAGTAAAACTTTCAAATTTAAACTTGAAAGGAACAAAAATAAAAAGGCAGAAATAGCACCTGCTACAAATATAAATCTTGGATATCAACCTTTTCAGCCAGCCATTTGCTTGCCATCCTTGACATAAAATTCACGAATATCAACCCAGATTTTGTCATTCCAGTTCCTCACTGAAACTCTTCTATTCTTGGATATCTGCAGCCCCGAACAAAAGTGATTTTGACATTTCATTAACGTTGTTCATTACAAAGAAAAAAGCAAAAGCCCTATAATCGCGTATTTTCGGGAAAAAGGAACCATGAAATAGAATATATAGATAGAAGGAAACAGCGAGAGCAGGTGGAAGGTGACCTCGCAGACGACGATGTCGTCGGAATCATCAGAGTAAAGGGAAGCAGAAGTGTTGGAGAGTTTCTTAGGAGGCGCATGGCCCTCATTCTCGTCGTAAACGTGACCCTCTGCATTCTTTCTCTTCCCTCTGAACGATATTTTTTTCCCTCCAACTCACTATTCGCAAATTGCAAGCTTTTTTTCCCCTCTTTTTCGGGCCCTCGCTTTTAATCTGCTTTTGAACTTGCTGAAGTTGGATTTTTTATCTCCTAAATTTTAAAACCTTTTACCTCATTTTTTTAACACTAGAAACAATAATTTAGACCAATTAGAAGTCGCCACGTCAAATCCTTATTTTTATATTCTAATTTTCTACTGATAATTAATAGGATAAAGTACACAAAATGATCATCTATATGATATTATTTTATTGAGTCTCATGATTATAAAAATTATAAAATAATCATTTGATTATTTGATGTTACTTTATTAAGTCATTCGATTATTAAAAGTTATAGTATGATCACTCAACTATTCATATGTTTCAAATTTATCATTTTTCATTAAAAAATTAACGATCGTTTGAGATAGATATTAACATGTTGACTGAGATATGATAATCTTATGAGATTATGTGAACATATATTTTATCATATCTCAATTAATATATTAACATACAAATCAAACTATCGTCAACTTTTCAATCAAAATGAATAAATTTGGAATATATGAATAGTCAAGTGATTATTTTGTAGCTTTTAATAGTTGGACTCAACAAAGCAATCGCCTATAATTAGATGATCATTCTATAATTTTTAATAGTCGAGGGACTTAATAAAATAATACCCTATAATCGAAGGACCATTTATATTTTACCCTAATCAATAATTAGATGAAAAATAAAATAAATATAATTTAAAACATTAAAATAAAGAAAATAATAATAATAATAATAATAATAATAATAAAACAAAGAAAACTGATTTAAAAGGACCAAAACGGAAAAGGCCCATTCTTTATCATTCCAACAAAACCGTAGGATCTTTTTACATCTTTCAATTTTTGCTTCAATTCGTTCCTTATTAGTTGGTTTTCAGCAACTAGTGTTTATGTTGTAACAAAGTTAGGCCTTTAAAATCATTATATTTTACTATCCCTTTCACTATTTTATTTTTTTATTCTATTTTTATAATCGATTTGAGTATCAATATAAAATTATAATCTAAGTTCTAATCATAATTAATTTGTTTAGTGAGATGAGGTACTGGATCTTTCAAGTAAGGTTAAGAGTTCGAATTTTAACATTTTGTGAACGAAATAAACTAGGTTACGAGAGTTGTCTCTATAATATGCATTTACAAAATTTAATTCGAATTAGTTGATCAATAAATTGAATACGAATAATTTTGACAATCAGAAATATAACTTTTCTTTTTCTGATTCTAACGTACTTTTGAAGAAGTTTCCAAGAAATGACCCCTCTTTTTAATTGGAAGTTCTACAGTGCGGCAGCCTTAATATACGGTTAAGAAAAGACGTTATCGGATTTATTTTATTTTTTAACAAAACCAATAAAATATTATCTAAAACATTAATGTTTTTTAATATTTATGGTAAAGTTCTCAATAATAACAAAACCGGTAGAAAAAAATAATGTTTTAGATAACGCTTTACCAAATACGTTAATAAAACTGATAAAGCGTCTAATAATAACAAAATCAATAAAAATAATAATACTTCTTGTAATTTTTTATTAATTTTATTAAAAAAATAATAAAATTAATAACATTTTTCGTTAATCGTATATTTAGGGTGCCGAGAGTTTCCCTTTTTAATGAATCTAATTGAAGCATAATATGCTTTCTTTATAAGGGATTTACGCTTGTACATTAACTACCCTTTTGTTTGATTCCTCAGTCCCTTGTTTGACTTGTTCCTGACATTGTTCTTTTGAATTAAAAAATAGTTATTTATGAGTTATGACTCAATTCTCAATTCAATCTTCAAATTATACTCATTTTTTGTTTTGGTATCAAATTTTCTATTCACATAAATTTTACTTTATCTAACATCACTCAAAGAAACAATTAACAATAGAGGTGTAAAAAAAAATGATTGATTTGAAAGAAAAAATAACTGAAACTGATTTGAGTTCGAATTGTTTATGATATGAGGTGATGATCAGAAATCGATACGAGTCTGAATTAGTGTTAATTTGAACCTATGTTGAACATGATTATTTTGAATATGAACTTATTGTGCACCCTACCTGAGAACACTTGAATCTGAATAAACCTGATAATATGAAAATCAAATTTGACCTACAACCGACATGATATGAACTTGAGATTAACATGGTAAATAATCGATATAACCCGACTTGAAACGGTCTGAGATATAAATTTACCCGACTTGCTATCAACTCGACATGTAATTAACTCAACTTGCAACCGACACGACTTGACTTGACACAATATAGTTGGGCGACTAATTAATTTTTTTTAAAGGTCACAAGTTTAAACATCAGTGATTACAAGGGTGATTAAATGATAATTATAAAAAAATTGATTATTAAACCTTTCTATATTTATTTATTTATTTTGAATAGATAACGTGTTTATGTATTGAAATTATTCGAAAGAAAAGAGCACGGTGCAATCCTCCCATCGAACAGGAAAGGGAAGTAAATGGGTGAAAAGAACCTGAAGGAAACACAACAGAAGAAACCCCATTAGTGTTATCAACACACAGAAACACCATGGACGACAAGTTTGAAGAACCAAGAAATTCCCATGATTTGTTTACCTCCAAGAAAAGCACCCTTTCTATTTTCACCAATCAATCAACGCTTATATATATATACAATAAACAAACAGGAAATATCCAACTGAAAGTTCCTCCTGGGTAGCTATAGAGAGAGAGAGAGAGAGATAATAAAATGAGAAAAGGACAAGTGAATGTGTTCATCTTGTTACTGTTTGTGAGTCTCTCTTCGGCTTCTGATCAGAGATGGAGGAAAGCAATGATGTCAGCTTACAATGGTTCTTCTTCTTCTTCTTCTTCTTCTTCTTCTTCTTCTTCTTCTTCTATGATGATGATGAATAGAGGTGGGTCCTCCATCTTGTTTCCGATCCATGGAAATGTGTACCCAACAGGGTAAGTTCAGCATATTTAATGACTTCCTTTTTTTTTTACTTTTTCAGGTAAAAGTTCATCTGCAACTTGTGCTATATGCATATAATATAACTGTATGCTCACAAATTATTCTGTACATATGGTTGAAATCATGGAGTTATGTTCTCTGGTTTAGGTACTATAATGTTACTATCAATATCGGCCACCCTCCCAAGCCTTACTTTCTTGATCTTGATACTGGAAGTTACTTGACATGGCTGCAGTGCAATGCTCCGTGCGTCCATTGTATTGAGGTGAAATTATTAGTATAAAATATATTTATATATGCATATGTATATGTATATGTATGTGTATGTGTATTAAGATATCCAGCATGTTATTACCTGTTTGTGAAACTGATTAATTGATGTAATTATTTGCAGCAGATGCTACGTATTTCAAAATTTTACCCTGGCTGCTTATTCTGATCCTTTAGTTTTTTCCTTCAGTTTGTTCATTTTAGCTTGTTAAATCTGCTGGTTTTCGTGATTGTTGTAGAAGCTCGGATTTTTTGTTACTGGTAAAGAGTAGTGTTGAATGTTTTTATAGCCGTCGTTGCAGGCGCCTCATCCGCTTTACCAACCTACCAATGACCTGGTGCCCTGTAAAACCCCGCTTTGTGCAGCATTGCATCCGCCTGGTGACTACAAATGTGAAAGCCCTGACCAATGTGACTATGAGGTTGAGTATGCAGATGGCGGTTCCTCGCTCAGAGTGCTTGTCCTAGACTTGTTTTCTTTGAACTATACGAACGGAATCCGAGTCGGTCCTCGTCTGACCCTTGGGTTAGTGCTTTTGCCCAAAATTGTCTTCAATATCAGTGATAGTGTTTCTGTCAAAAATTCATTTAGTCTTGCAAGCTGTCCATGGCACCATCCCCTGTTGTATAAGCAAATTTCATGTACTATTTTTGTGCTTTTATTCGCGCAAGGAACGGTGAAAGGATGGAACAAAATGAAACTATACTATAACTGATTAAAATATAATCTGTTTGAATCTGTATTAAACAATCCCTACTGTTTGTTGTTCATTGTTTTTCGCTGAAGAAGTTTACTAACAGATCACATCCTTTGATTAGTTGCTTCTCAACACACCCTTAAACATTATGTGTCACGGTTCCTTGTGTGCAGATGTGGATACGATCAAATTCCGGGCACATCCAATCATCCCTTAGATGGAATACTTGGCCTCGGAAGGGGAAAATCGAGCATTGTGTCACAACTTCAGAGCCAAGGCTTGGTCCGGAATGTCGTTGGCCACTGTTTAAGCGGAATAGGCGGAGGATTCCTCTTCGTCGGGGATGGCCTCTATGATTCTTCACATGTGACTTGGACACCAATGTCACAAGAGTTTATCAACTCTTCACTTTACTTTGTTCACAATGGCTAAACATGATCATAATTGATTGCTTTGAAGTCCTGATAATAAATCCTCTACTTGATACTTATGGCAGCAAGTACTACTCTCTGGGAAATGCCGAGCTACATTTCGGTGGGAAAGCTACCGGCATTAGAAACCTCGTCGTGATTTTCGACAGTGGAAGCTCCTACGTACGCCTTAATTCTCAGGCTTATCAAGCGTTGACAGTGTTGGTAAGTTCCGGGGCAACTTCAGAACATCTTCAAGATATTCTAAAACCAATTATGAAGTTCTTCTAAAGTTTAATCTTTTACGTGTAGTTGAAGAAAGAACTAAGTGGAAGATCTCTAAAGGAAGCTCCAGAGGACCAGACACTCCCATTATGTTGGAAAGGTCGAAAGCCATTCCGAGGAGTGCGCTACGCCAAAAAATACTTCAAGACCGTACTGTCTTTGGCCTTTACAAGCAGTGGCAGAAGAAAAACCCAGTTTGAATCTTATAACATCGGTGATCACTGCACAGATATATATATATATATATGTGTGTGTGTGTATATGTTCTTGCTTTGTCTCTTTTGTTGATGCATACTGAAACGTTAACATAATGTTTTGACAGAATAAGGGAAATGTTTGCTTGGGAATTCTAAATGGAACACAAATAGGGCTGCAAAATCTGAATGTCATTGGAGGTAAGGGTTAATATTTGATTTATTGTTTTAACCGAGTTACGTTGGAGGTTTTACTTCATCCTTTGTGATTTAAACAGACGTATCGATGCAAGACAGAATGGTGATATATGACAATGAGAAACAAGTGATAGGATGGAGCCCTGCAAACTGTGATCATCTTCCTAGGTTCAAATCTTACATGTGAACATCATTCTAACCACAAATAATTCTCTTTATCCTTCTATCTTCGATCTTAGGTACTATGTACAAGATTTATACCCACCAACCAGGAAGGGCTCTACTCTCTTCATTTGTATATTACATGTAATTTATTATATATATATATATAAATGATGTGTAGCATTCTGAATCAATAAAAATGCTTATTATTGACCATTACATCCTTACTAGGTATCATGTGAAGTTAGGGGGAAATAGGACGGATCAGATTTTTTGTCGTCTCGATTCTGATTTGAAGTTTAGAAGACTCTTATCGACCCGATCCGATTCTGATTTCAGTACAATATAATCAACTTATCATAACAAAGCATAGTTCATCCCAACCCACCTCGTCTGCAAAAGATTTAATGAAAAACCGTAAATATTTTAATAAATATAGCAAAACGAGATGGATTTCACCTAAATCTGATCCCGATTCGATCCTATTTTTTTTTAAAAAAAATGCTCCACCCCAATCCCATTTAATAATATTATTAATAATAATTTAATCTCAATCGAACCGGATCGAAACCTTTCAGGTAGAAGAAAATTGGCATCCCCACGTGAAGGACTATAATCCACGTGATTGGCATGATTGTAAAATTTATCAACGTATGGAGGCAAGAAAAAACAGTCTTCCCATTATGAAGTACCAAGTAAATTGCACGTAGGAAATGCCATTAGCTTCGCAGTTTTCTCCGCCATAAAGCTAAAAACTCGTGAATTAACTACAGGGAGAGCTTAACACTACATATTCATCAAACCAAGTGAATATCCTACAAAATTTTTATCTTCCAATCTTCAGCGACCCTCACACCAGGCTTTCGAATAGTTACAGCAGCACCGACATTTCCCCCAAAACGAAGGGGACCGAGTTCGATTTCAGCCTTCTGATTTCCTGGTTCGATGAGAGCGGTTTTTGCCCCAGGGGTATATCCAAGAAGAATAATCCGTTCGATAATGCAGTCCGAAGAGAATCTAGAGTTGCCACGGGGAGAGGATGCTGCATTCAAAGAAGTCAGATGCCCGTTTGAGAACACAAAGTGGCGATGGATGTATGCCCCTTGTTTGAAGTCGAAGCTTTTTCCATCATCAAGATAGAGTTCACCTTCAGCTTCTTGGGAACTGTTCAGAGCAATCACCTAAACAGACAGAGTGATGTCAGAGGCACACGCCTTATCAAGGGCACCTCACAAGAAGGGGTGCTTATGAGCTCTAGTAGATGTATTTATGAGAACATATCTGGCAGTATTTTACACCTAGTCGATATACTTATGAGGACATAAGGATCGGTCAGTATCGATCACATACCAGTGTAAAAGGGTCATGCATCATTGTGTGGAGCTTCTACGGAACCGGTCTTTTCTTGGTACAATAGTGCCAGCTCTTTGGAAAGCAGGAATGCTCTCTTCGGAAACGTCAAGCTTATGGGTCTTTCCTCCCTTGTATGCAGTTCCTGTTCTGAGATCATACCATGATTCCTTCCCGGGCAAATATACTGATGCATGTTTAGCCCTCTATGTAAACGAAAATATACGAAATTTCAATTATTCACAGGCTATGAATATAAGAAAAGCAACGGAGAAAATAAGAAACAGAAAAGATAGAAGATTCGGTTAAGAGTGGTACCGTCTCATAGATCCCTTGTACCAAAAGACTGTTCCCAACCATGAAAGCTTCATCATTGCTGAACTTCATCAGATGGGAACTCCATCCATAATGGACGTACAACAGGAACACCAGTAACGTTTGTTTCTCTGAATAATGTGTAAAAGTATGGAAGCAAGGTGTAACGAATACGGATGGCATCTCTCATAAGTGCGGTATTTCTTTCACTGAAACAAAGTTAAATCTCATTACTTTGAAGATCAGAAAAGAACATAATAAATTTAGAGATATTGTATAAAAACAATATCAAGCTTTTTATTTTTTAAACCTTCCCATGATAACATCACACCCAAATACATTTTAATTCATACAACCACAACTCCATAGGAGGGGGAAAAAGTAAAATCCTGATTAGCAACAGAAAACCAAAAATTTAGTTGCTGAAAAAGCAATTGAGTCTAAAATACCAACACATTTTAAATCTTCATGATGCAATAAGGGAATGATAGCTAAGCTTATTGGTGCGGTGCAAAATTAAACCCACCTATACAAAAAGTACATGCCATGCGATAATTTATAGGCCTTAGATGTGAGGCCGGAGTGATGGGAGAACAAAAACCATATCAATTAAAAGTGGATTATCATGGGCCCTTAAATAAAGGGGCCTCTCCACCTATACGAAGGTGTTTTGGGTTGGAAGCCTAGTTGTAAAATTTTACAATGGCTCATTCTGGGCTTTTATACTTAAAGTCAACGCATAACCTCAGAATAAATCAAGTAATCTCATAGAAGCAATGCCATAAAAGCAAATCGAGTCATTCAGTGGTTGAGGGTAGGCTAGCCTTCATAATCACAATTCTCCATTCAGCTCTACGGCCATATATTTTATCACAACCATACAAACATTATGTAAAATCCTAGACAAAAATTCACTTTGTTCATATTCTCTTCATATAACCAAAGCAGCTGCCCTCAAAGAATCTTCAACTCAAACTATGCATGTCTCAACATTCCAAACCATCTTGTACTTTCAAGTTAAAACAAAGAAATGAACCTTGGAAGAAAAATAATAGAAATAATTGCACATGATGTCCCCAAACTATGACCCCCATTCTAAACTGGTCCCTAAACTTTAAAATGTTCTACATCAATCCTCAAACTATCAATGTCATTACATTTTGATCCTTCCATTAACATGCCTTTAACTCTACTACACATTAACGGAATGATCAAATGGAATGATACTGATAGTTTGAGGACTGATAAGAATGTTATAAAGTTTAGGGATCATTAGGCATGTACAAAGATGTTTTAATTGGGAAGCAGATAGTTTGGCTAAGTCGGGCATAGGGTAATGTGGGGTGTTTCTGGTCTGTTGTGTAGGTTGAGTGTTTTTGAGGGTAGAGGTTTTGTTTTGTGGGGAAGGTTTGTATTTAAGGTGGATTTTACCCTGGATGTATTTTCTGTTTTAGTAATAAAATTTGGGCACTCTTTTCCTCCTTCCAATGTCCGTTGAGATACCTATGTAGCTTGACGGTTAAGAAGGGGGGTTTTAACGAGGCCCTTTTCCTATAAAAAAAAGTTTAGGGATCAATTTCGAATGGGGAGTTTGGGGCCTGATAGAATATTTTAAAGTTTATGGACCAATTTAGAATAGAATAATTTGGGGACCTCATGTGCAATTAACTAAATAATAAAAGATCTTGGATTTTCTTTTAAGTAAAATGAAGCAACATATTAAAGTAATGAGCCATTGTAGAATCAGCATAGAACTAGAATTTTGAACATTAATCAAAGTAGTTCAGAAAATTATTTTCCATCAAAGCCTTTCGACAAAAGTAAAAGGGTTTTTCAGGGATCAACCAAAACACTTCTTCAAAGAATATCTTTAAAACAATGAAAGCAGTTGCATATTTCTCAAAGGCTCAAAAGGATCATAGGCCCCAAAATACAATATAATGCTGCTGATCAGAATTTAATTCACATGCTCTGTCTGAAGCCAAACGACAGGCATACAAAGCTTACTTTTCAGTGCAATACAATATGGAAAAAATCAAGAACTCTTAAGCTGTATGGAATGAGATACAGATGAAAATGAGAATATCAGAATGTTACTAAGTGAGATTAATGTAACTTTGGTGAAGAAAAAAGTTTCACATGTGATTGTGGTTTTACATGTTAATGGCCTAATATATAAATGAATGTTCTCAAAGGGAATGCTAATCTGTCAAGATGCAGAGAGTAGAATTAAATGGATGTTAAAGATATCATACCCGAACAACCAAGGCTCTCGTCTTTTTGTATCATGATGGGCATGACCTCTAAAGAAAGGATAGTAAGCACCAAGTTGATACCAACGCACCAATAACTCGGGCTCGGGATTGCCAAAAAAACCACCAATATCAGCACCTGTAAAAGTTTATCCATAATCAAAAAGGGAAAAGGTACACTGATTTTAACTTCTTTTTCTTTTAAAGGCATGCATACCAGAGAATGACATTCCAGTAAGACCAAGACTCAAAATCATCGGGACTGAAACCCTGAGGTGACCCCAATCTGCAGAATTATCCCCAGTCCAGACTGCTCCGTACCTTTGACTTCCAGCAAAGAATGCTCTGGACAAAACAAAAGGTCTGTCCTTACCATCTCCTCGCTTTACAAGGCCATCAGCTGTTGCCATGTGGAAGTAATATCCATAGGCATTATGCAACTCCCGATGTTCCACTCCACCAAGATGTAAAATATCTCTGGGCATTGTCACCTAGACACGGTAAAAGTTTGGTCAAATTTACCTGCCCTATGCAGTTTTTAAGGAGTGCATACATACATCTATATATAAGAAAAAGGCATGACTGAAATTTTCAAAATGAAAAAATCAACACGTTTCCAAGGTTTTTGAAGTATAGCCACCATAAATATTTCCTCAGAAATAACTTCATCTCCATCTTCATGGAAATGTAATTTTCAAGTTATTACTAAGAAACGTAGAAGGATTGCAAACATGCTTTTACATTCCGAACATTGGATGCATAGAGGAAATATTTTTCTGTACTTAGTTTAGAAAATCTGAAACTTTTTTATGATCACCAATCAACCATGCCTTTACTATCTAAACAACAAATTTATACAGAAAAGGAGATGTTTATTAAAGAACAAACTCGTTACAGAATAGTTTTCACGACATATATGCAGGAATATCCTCAAACTTAAGCACACTTAAAGAACTACAGCTAAATCAGATAATATTAGTTAGAAAAACATGGTACTATTTTAAGTAAATTTATCTACATAGAACATGGCCACTTATTACCATTTCTAAACTAGTTTAACAGTATATGGAAACAAGTGAACAAATATATCATGCCAAACAACAGGGTAG